GGGTCGACGGATCGCGCCGCATCGCCAATGCATCGCCGATGTATCGGCGATGCATCGGCGATGCATCGGCGACGTCGGCGATGCATCGGCAACGTCCGCGTGGGAAAACACGGTCTCCGCATCCAGCCGCATCGCCGATGCATTGGCGATGCGGCGCGATCCTCCGACCCCATCTACTCTGACCCCATCTGGGAGGCTTAGAGTTTGGTGGGTGGTGAGGAACGGATGTCCTCGCCCTGGCCCCGCCCGGCCGACCCCCCTCTGCGCGTGGCCCGGCCTCAGCCTCCGCAGGCCCCATGGCCCCGCAGCAGTGCAGGCCCACCTTTCTCCTCCTCCTCCTCCTGCTCCCACCTTTCTCCTCCTCCTCCCTCCTCCTCCTCCTCCTCCTCCTTTTCCTCCTCCTCCTCCTCCTCATCATCATCCTCTTGTTGCCGCTGCCTTCGGACGTGGCCGGGGGGCCACGGCGTCGAAGCCGGGCGGCGGGCGGGTCCCTTCTTCTCGGGGGGCCGATGGCCTGCCGCTGCCGCGCTCCTCGCCGACCGTCCTGCCTCGCCCGCCTCCTCCCCCCGCTGCTCCTGCGGGCGCGAGGGTTGGCCGCCCGAGAGGTGGATCGTCCGTGTGCAGGCGAACCTGTCAGCGAGGGGGCGGAGCAAGGCTCCGCCCCCCTCTTGAAGACTTATCCCGAGCTATCCCTCTGCCGCTGCTGGTGCATGGCACGGCGACGCATGCTCGAGGAGGGGATCGACTACAAGATTGCTTTACCCCAAAACCCAATTTTCCGCTGAGCCTGCGAACGAAGGCGTAGAATGCTCCGTAGATCTACGGGAGCACTGTACGCAATCGTTCGTAGACTCGGCGGAAAAATGGACTGTGGGGTAGAGGAGAGGGAGTGAAGGAAAACAGGACCTCTTTCCTCCGCTACGCTACCCTCTCTGTCGCTCCCCATGTCGGCCCTTGGGAGGTCGATCTGGCGCATTAGCCCTCTGCGCTCAGGGGCTGCGTCTGGGCCGACGGTGCGGCAGACGCTGGATACAGTACTGCGGACAAGGCATCCCGCTGCTGCTGCTTTCTGCTCGATGGCTGCCCCTACCGAGCCACCCCAGCCCAAGACCGAAGTCGCCGTGGGGCTCGCCGATTTCCAGTGGGGGGGGCGCGTCCTGGAACATCGAGAAACCACCGTGGAACCCGATCCCCCCCACCCCCCACACCCGAAGTTCTGTTGGGGGATCTGGGGCCTTGGTTGGCCTGGGGTTGGTTTGGGAAGTAGTGCTGCTCCCCCCCTCCCCCTGCCGACGCTCCCGCTCCCGCTCCCGCGCCCGCCGCTACGACCACCAGCCTTCGACGAGTACTTGTATTTGTGGATGGTGTCACAGGGTGTGCTCAGCAGCATCGAGCAAGAACAAGTGGCTTGACATTCCTGCAAGAAGCTCTTGCAACGCTTTGCAGGAGCCGCTCGACAGCAATAGATGCCTCCTAGATGGGGTCCGAATAGATGGGGTCGGAGGATCCCGCCGCATCGCCAATGGATCGCCGATGTATCGGCGATGCATCGACGATGCAACGGCGACGCATCGTCGACGTCGGCGACTCATCGACGACGTCGATTTGAAGAAAACCGGGCTCCGCATCGAGCCGCATCTCCGATGCATCGTCCGATGCATCGGCGATGCGGCGCGGTCCTCCGACCCCATCTGGGAGGCCTAGAGGCAACCACCTATGAGCCACGCCGGAACCCGCTGCCGCCGCGCCCCACTCCCTGGACGCCGACCCGCGGCAATGCCCCGGGGCGGCGACCCTCCCCCGCAGGCGGCGCGCCGGGGGGGGGGCGGGCGGGCGGGCGGCGCCGGCAGCATGGGCGTGGCCGCGCCAGGCTGCAGCACGGTGGTGGACACCTGGCCCGCGGGCTGGAACGCCGAGACCGCCTCGGCACGGCTCGGGCGGGGGGCGGGCGAGCACGCAGCCCAGAGGAAGAGACCGGGCGCGGCCCGGCCGGCCCCCGGCAAACCGTCCCCTTACAGGACGCCGTCCTCGCCTTTTTCAGGCTTCCCTCCGGCCGCGTACACACGTCTTGGGGCGAGGCGAGAGGGGGACGTCACGGAAGGGGATGGCTTGCCAGTGGTCGCGGTCAGGCCGCCCCTGAAGAGAGGCTGAGGGTTGGCCGACCCGGCCCAGCCCGAAACCTTGAGGTCTGTGTCGCGCTTCGCCAGCAATAGTCCGAGCCCAAGGGCAAGCAGAAGAACACCGCACAAAGCACACAGAGGTCCCCCGCACAAAGCCTCCGCACAAGACTCGCGCGAGTACAGTAGGAGCTCGACCACAAGAGACCTTCCACGTGAAGCCCAACCCTGAGACCCCAGGATGTCCGTTGACTTTTGATATGGGGAGGTCACGTTTTCCACCGCAGAACCATGGGCACCCTGGAGGCACGCCGGGTGTTTCTTGGCATGGGCCTCCTCCGTACCCTCTGGATGGACGCTCGTAGGGAGGGTTCTCGGCCTCTCGCGCGAGCTCCAAGAGGGGGAGGGCGGAGGAGGAGGGGCAGAGGTTTGGCGGGGGAGGCCACGGGCAGCGCCGAGCCAGGGGCGGGGGGAGATGGGAGGAGCAAGGGAGCTCATGCGGGAGGGCGGGGAGGAAGAGGAACGGAACGGCACGGGACGATTGCGACCTGAGCAGTGGTTCCTGACTGACGGCGCTGCCGCGTGAAACCCGCGACAATACAAAAGGATCTTGGCATTGCCACGTTGGTCAAGCACCTGCGACCTCGCTGGGGGGGGGAAACCTCTGGCCCTATAGCGGGGAGCAGGAGCAGGAGCAGAAGCAGGAGGGGAGAAGCAGGAAGGAGCACTTTGAGCTTCGACCCTTGTGGTCCCCATGGTTGGCGTCAGTGAAGGGGAGGGAATGAGGAAGGATGAGGAAGGGGGGAAGAGGGGATGATGACGCAGGAGGGAGGATGAGGAAGGATGAGAGAGAAGGATTGACGATAAGGAGGAGGGGGAGGGAGAAATCGGCCCGATATTGAGACCAATGCCAGCGAACTGGAAGCAATCGTCGTACTCCGTAGTGCCAGGTGTCTCCAACATCTAGTCTAGGAAGAGGCTTATCCAGAGCTCTCGTGGCGCACTCGCGAAGTGCTCCTCAGAGGCTCTTGTCAGGCTCCCAGGACACTGTTCAGATGCTCTTAGTCAGCCCGAGGGTCTTGAGAGCTCTCGGCGGGCTGCGAAGATGATCTCAGGGCCTGAAAGCCGAGTGCCTTCTGAGAGAACAGGATGGGCCCTGGTGGGCCAGTATGGGCAGCAACTGGCTGACGCTCGCTCAGGAGATCCCCCCAACTGTTTTTTTGGCCTGGAAGATGAGTCCCAACTCAATGGAATACAACATATAATTTGGACACATATTTTATATATATATATATATATATAATCTTTCTCATGCCTCCCCCTTCCCCGCCTCCCCCCCCCCATATACCATCCGCTCCGAGGCTGGCGCAGGGGCGCCGGACTGCAGCATCGTGGTGCCCACCGCGCCGCCGGGCTGCAGCACCGTGGTTCCCATGTGGGCCTCGGCGGGGCCGCGGCCGCGAAGGAGGCTCCCACAGCGAGGGCGGTGCCAACTTCCAACCCACACCAGCCCTGGCCAGGATTGGCTTGGCCAGGATCACGAAACATAGACCGATGACTGGCATCCCCCAAACATAAAAAATGCGACCTGACGCGGGTCTCGTGGATCCCCGCGCGACAAGCAAAACGCGCCGCAATGATGCTCTCATGGAGGGCCCCGTGGTGAACAGATCAGAGCCCCGGAGGGCCAGCGGCCAAGGCTGGGGGCTGCAGACGGAGGGGTACGCCCCGATAAAGATTGTCATGCGTCCCCTCCTGCTTGGTGCTTCTACTCCTCCATCCTCACGCCCTTCTGTTTCTTCATCACTGCGCGCTCTCACTCCTTCATTTTCTGGATAAGAAATTCTTGGCGCTTCGCGTAACCGCACCAGCTTCGCCCGCCTCGTCTCGTTCCCTGTCCCGCCCTCGCCTCCCTCCTCCCCCCGCCTCGGGGCCGCTCAGGACTCCTCGCCTCCAGCAGTAAGGACCATCCAACTCCCTGAGGCTGACAATGGCGGCCCAGGGGGGCGCCGAGAAGCATCAGATGAGGCGAGCCCCAGGGAGTGCCAGGAGGAGGCGCAACAGCTCGCAGCTGCGGAGGACGTTGTCCACCCCCCCAGAGAGCATGCGCCTGTTCCTCCTCAGTCAGTGGCGAGCCACACCCCCGAGGTGCTATCTGGCGACGGAGACGGAGGCAACCACCAACAATAGTGACTCTTGCGGCGGTAAGCGGCGCCCCCAATGTGAATGGAAGAGTGAACTGAGCGGCGGTTAGCTGCACCCCCCATGACCATGAGATAGAGTATTCTGCGGCGGTTAGCTGCGCCCCCCTTCTAGCACAACTCAGGATCAATGTGTGCGAACACCTGGTGTGGACACTCCGAGGGGCCTCGAGGCCTACGAGAGCGCCCACCTCAGGAACACATTGGATCAGGGCCGCATCAGCTTAATCCGAAAGCCCTTATAACGGCGACGAGGCGACGATCGAAAGCAGTGCCCCGGCACTGCTTTGAACGCGTTCAAAGCAGTGCCCCGGCACTGCTTTGAACGTATGATATGATGATATGATGATGATTATGATTGATGATGATGATGATTTTTCCAGCGTACACTGTCCGCAACTGCGGCAATCAACATCATGCTCCACTTGCCCGCAACTGCGGCCATCACCAACGCTGCGCCTCGAAGCTCCACGGAGGGCGCTCGGCAGGTCGCCCGCTCGAGCCCCACTCGACTTCACGCTGAGGAGGCGAGCCCTCAGGGGCATTGTCCGCAACTGCGGCATGATCAGAGGGCCACCACTGCGCGCCATCAGCGCCCCATTCGCTCGAGCTCCAGTCCCACCAGGACCAGCCCTGCCATCTCGTGGCGGGACTGCGCGCCTCCCATGCGCCGCTGCCGCTGGCGTCCCAGGACCCAGCCGCCACTGCGGCACAAGAAGGGGTCGCATCGTCGCCGTTGGCAGCTTGCGGCGGTGGCGTGTTCCCAGCTCGCTCAGCCCCAGCGTCTCTCCCCGCAACTGCGGTTCCCATCTGGGGTCGGACGCCCTTCCCCGCAACTGCGGTGTCCGCGTAGCTGCCCTTCTTGCCGCCCTTCTTGCCGCCCTTCCTGCCGCCCTTCCTGCGTTCCAACCTCGCGGCGAGTCTTTCAGGTGACCTGCGGCACGTATTGTGCGTGAAAGCCACCAGAGGGAAGTGCGCTCCGTGCCTCGCCCTGCCGAAGGCGCCATGCCATATCTTGTCGTCGAGGTTGCCCTGCTTCACTCTGAAGGGATGGCGCACCCAATCGTCGCGTTCCCTGCGCGCCATCCTTTGCTCGAACTCCGCAACTGCGGTCAAGGATTCGCCAGATGGCGTCAGGAAGGCGCGCATCTTGTTTTCAACGGGCTCAGCCTTGGGCACGTAAGTCTGAAGCATCTTCCCAGGGCCATTCGTGTAGTCGAAGACAGGGAAAGACGGATCATGCTGGGTCGTCAAGAATCCGCCCTCACGGTCGTGCAGAACACTCAGGCCATGGTGAAGCTTGTACTGCCCAGGACAGTTTATGAACAAAATCGCCATGCTGTCTGCCCTGGGCTGGCCGCCTGCTGTCTTCCAGGGGGTCCACGCGGCGACGTCCACAGTCAGGCCGCAATTGCGGCACCAGGACACAAGCTGGAACATGCACATGTTGAAGTCCCCCATGCAGACCTTCACGTCCCATTCCCTGACGTAGGCGACGAACCAGTTGTAGAACTCATGGAGCTTCGTGACGCCCCAGTCTTGGTTGGCCAAGCTGTGGTGGACGTGCACCGCCATGACGTTGAAGGAGCCCCCCAAATGGGTCACGGCCTGGTCCAGGTGGACGCGCACCACCATCGCCCTGGAGTACTTGTTGTGCAGCTTTGGCGCAGGAGCCTCCGCAACTGCGGACTGTTTCTTCTTCTTCTTCGTTTTGGACTTCTCCTGCTTGTGGAAGAGTCTCGCAAAGTCTACGTGTTCAATGTGGCCGCCACTGCGGTCCCTCATGCCAACAAGGAGGGTCCCTGATGGCTCGCCGCCCTTAACGCACAGGTAGTTGTATTGAGTCCGACTCCGAAACCTATCGTCCGCAACTGCGGCTGCACTGTCCCTCGCGTCGTGCTCCCCACTGAGTACCGCGCAGGTCTCGTCGTCGCACTCGCAGAGGGCGATGATCTGGGCAGGGTTCGCGCGGAGCTGCGCCCACTCGTCCGCGCGTTGCGTGGGTCTAGCTGCAGTCCCTCCGAAGTTGGCCACGTAGAAGCCGACCCGTCCCGCTTCGAACTCCGTTTTCTCCTCCCATGCGTCGACAAGAGCTCTTTGTTTTCCGACAGATTGCTTGTCTCGATGATGGGCACCCGTTTCCAGGGTCTCCGCGACGACAACACTCTCGGCATGTAGGAGTCATGTGCTGCCGCAACTGCGGCTCCCGCACCTCCCCGGGACTCAGCCTCGTCAGCGGAGGCAGCCGAGGACGCGACGGTGCTGTCGCCATCTTGCGTCCGCTGGTCGTCGTCATCATCCGCAACTGCGGCTTCCTCGTCTTTGCCTCCCTCCTCCTCCTCAGCGTTGTGGATGAACACCGTTCTGGCGAATCGAAGTCCACGGTCCATACTCCCTGAGGATGCGCTCGGGCGCGCGGGCGGCCACATGCTTGCGTCTTCGCGTGCGCCACCTCGAGCCACGGTGGCTACGGAAATGGATCGTGAATGGGCATGGGGTCGGATGGAGGGAGGAGACAAAGAGGATTCGAGGAGTGGCAGAAGGAGGGCGAGGACTCAAAGGAACCGAAAGAACAACAAATGGACTGGCGGAGAAGCAGAAGGAGGGCGACGATTGCAAGGGACTGTGAAAGGATTATTTTCACAGCAGCAGGAAGACCGCAACTGCGGTTTTGCCTCATCTCCTGCCCGCGCGGGAGCCGCTTGGAAAAACAACTTCCCTCTGGACTTCCTGTGGGTCCGCAACTGCGGCCTGCATCACGCTAGGGCTGGGATTACCAGCGCCATTTGCCCTCCCAGGGTTCTCACTGTTTCCGAATGCACGAACTGCGACAGCGCCGAACGGTTCCCAGACGCCGCGTCGTTCGCGACTTTTTGCAGCCACCCAGCAAACGTGAGCGGCCATTGCTCCTTGTGCTGCTTGCACATCTCCTCGTCCCAATGCGTCTTGAACCATGCCCACTCCCCCCTCTGCTCGTCTGAGAGGACGCCTTTTCCGCGAGCCAGGCGATCCAGAGCTGCCATCCTGTTTTTCTTGATCTTGAACTCCTCGGGATTCCACTGCGCTAGGGCGTGTTTGTTAGCCAAAGCCGTTTCCACCGCAACTGCGGCCTCCTTCTTTGCCCTCAAGGCGGCCTCGGCCTCTCGAATCTGCTTCTTGAGATCGTGCAACGCCTTCGTCCTGTCGTTCGCTTCCAGAGCCAGGCGCCGCTTTTTCGCCACCACTGCGGCTTCGTGGTCTCGCTGGGCAGTCAACGCTCGTAGGACCTCGTTGTCCTCCCGCGCCAGCTCTCTCAACCGCTTCTTTTGTTTGTGTCGTTGCTGTCGGCAATCCTGCGCTAGTTTCTCCATGCCCACTTGGCGCAGCATATCTTCCGCCTCGCGGAGCGTTTCTGCCAAGGACGTCGCCACTGCCACCTGCTCGGCCGCCTCTGCGTCGACCACGCAGTCCATGGATACCGAGGATCCTTGAGGCCCAGGTGCCGCAACTGCGGCATCGCACTGTTCCGCAAGAGCCTCGGCCCACGAGGCCTCCTCTTGCTCTTCGTCCTCCTCGTGCTCCTCGTGCACCTCCTCCTCCTCCTCCTCCCCGCCCTCCTCATCGCCCTCCTCGTGGCCTGGCTCCTGGCCTAGCGCTTCGTCGCCGAGCTTCTCCAACACGGAATCTGTGGCGTCGTGTTTCTCGTATTCGTGTATGAGACGCAGCACGTCATTGTAGGACCATTTCAAACGTTTCTGCTCGCATTCTTCCCTCACCTCCGCGACTGCGGTGTCCACTTTTGCTCGCAGCCCCCCTGCTTCCCAGAGTTCCGCCGCCTCTCGGCAAATCTCGAGATCTCCTGACTTGTCGAAGGGCGCTCGAATTCCCACTTTCAGGAAACCTTTCGCGGCGTCCAAGTGCAACTGCACATTCTCCAACACTGACAGCATCAAGTCGGCGCAATCGGAACGCCGCAACTGCGGCACGTGCTTCCCCAACGCCATTTGCTGCACCAGCGCTTTGGTCTCGAGGGCAATGTACCGGCGCTTCACGTGCTGGTTCAAGTCCGTGTCCACGGGCTGCGCAACTGCGGTCGTCCCCCCGCCGTGAATGATCAGCACGTAGCCGCGCTGCCAGGCGAGTCTCCGCACAGCGTCTGCTTTGTGCGGGGAATGGTCGTCGGCCATGAGGATGCGCCACTTTCCCCGCAACTGCGGGTCGTCGGGCCAGGCCCGCAAGTGCCGCTGCAAGAATGATACAA